GTCAAAAATCACATCAAGTTCGTCGAAGAAAATACGCAATTAAGGTTAAATCAATACCTTGCGACTTTCTCCGCAAGACCTTCGCCTTCCAAAGCCAGCTCGACATCACCGGAATCCACCTGTATAGGTGCAGCTGGCGGGATCGCTTTCCTCTGCTTCGAGGGGGTAGCAGCAGGGATATCAACCTCTACTGCCTGATCGTCCTCCTCCTTTGAAGACCCGTACCTTCGGGCCTTGGTCTCGACGTCTTCTTAACAGCTGCAACATTAAAACAGTTGCAACTATAAGGCATCACGTTTAAGAAAAAAACACACATGCGAAGTCACTTCAATCCAACAACGCACCTGCTTTCGAAGACTTAGCTCTCTTCTCGGCTGGCTTGGCCGACTTCTTCTTCTTCTCGGAGGGCTCTTTTTTCTCCTTTTTGGGCCACAGGTCCTGGCTCAGATTGCACAGCTTTTAAATGTTGACATCAAGACCGAACGGGTCCTTCCCAAGGCTGATCGACACTGCAGAAATAAAGAAAGGAGCAAACATGTCAACATCTCGAAATTAGCTAAAAAGCAGAAAGAAAAAAAACAACAAAGTTCAGTTCGGCCTACAAAGTTTTGACCTCCAACTCCTGAATAAATCAAGCTCGGAGCTGCCGGTACACGCCTCAGTAATCTTCACATAGAAGAAAAAACGGTCCCACTCGTGAACCTTGCTTGTTGGATCCCCACCAACGATTCCCTGCTTCAGCGTGGTATAAAAATGGTGCCACCCCCGCGATTTAGCCTTCCGTTCTTCAAAATTGAAATCCTTTCGAAGATATCCTAGTTGAAAGGCACCTTCGCCATTCGAGCCACCACCGTTAAGATGATGAAATGACGAATCGCAGCGTGAGAGAGCTGCGCCACTGGCATTTTCCTCTACTCACAGTAACGGAGAAGCAATGAAATGGGAAATTGGAGATCAAAAACTGCAAAATGGCATTCGTAAATGCAGAAATAACCCTACGGCGGCGTTGTTACTCTCTCATGAACCTGAGGAAGTAAAAGCTCGACTTCCTCAGGAAAGCATCACCTCGACCGAAGCTCCTGTAGCCTGTCCGTGGTCATCCAGGTCCTCCCGTCCTTGATGCCGGTTTTATGCTTCGACATCGCTATCTTCTGTGGAAGACCCTAAATCCAGCCCGATGACTCAGAACCCTCTGATTCCATCTCGGAATCTATATCAGAGTTATCTGGCGGAATAGCATCTCGATAACCTGAAGACCCCTCAGAATTCGAGGGAGAAGAATGAACGAGACTAATCCATGTCCGCCTAGCACGCTCGGCGAGAGGAATATCGTCATCGAAAAAAGAACCATGCGATCCCGTCAACATTTTTTCAATATAAGAAAGAAAACAGAAATCTCTGGAAAAATCGAGAAAGAAGAAGCAAGATCAACGAGCAAAGAAGATTATCGCAGCAAAGAAATAATTTTTGCAAAACCAATATGAAGAAAGTAAAAAACCCTTGGGAGCGAGAAGATGAAAAGATAAATTCTCGATAATAAAATCAAAAGAAATATCAACGGTTCCCTTAAAGGACGCGTGTCGAGATTCACACAATCTAGCTGTATGCTTAACCTTTGGCTTTCCCGCTTGAAGTAAAACCCTAGTGGACCGTATATTTAAATAAATTTATTTACGGAAGGCGCCACGTATCGAATCCACTTAAGACGGGCCGAGCTGACCATCACGGAAAAACGCTCTTGACGAGCTGATGCTTATTGCGAGATCAAACCCACTTAACTTCATGAAGTCCGCCGAGCTGTTTCACTATCAGTCTCTACGAACTTATTGTTAAAGGGGAAATGAGCACATTTCCTAAAAGGCTTTCTCTAGCAATAATCTAAGCCCATCAAGAACAAGAAGACATCGCCGACGTAGCTATAAAAAGGAAACTCTCAAGGATAATCTGAAAATTACAGGAGGATCGGATCAACTCGAAGGATAAAAGAGAATTTCCATATTCTTCGGAGACTAAGGGATATTTCCATATCACAAATATGGAAATATTCACCAACAGAGAAAAGGAAAAGGAGTTCGGAGCAACCGACCTCCTATTCTTATAAATAAGAAAACCCCAGAGCTCAAGAAGGACAACTCATACAATCTAGAGAGCAGCAAAGCTAAAACCAAGAACTCCAACGCTTTCTTGTTTACCTCGCAAACACTTTCTTTTCACTTCGGCATAACCCCTCGGTTATACCAATCTTTGTAATCGCTTCATCTTTTAAAGCAATTAATAAATATCTTATTCTCCAAAACCCATAACTATTAATCAAATCTCTAGTGGTGATTTTCTAGTTCAACATTAGAATTAGTGATTAATATAAGTTTAACATATACACATACATGTTGAATCGGTTGATTAGATCTCAATTCGTATAAATAGATTTTACTAATTAAGTACATCAATATATATATACATATATACATATATACATATATTATATAATAGTTGATTGGTATGTACCGTATGCAAACTATAAAATATTTTATATGTTTAATTATGATTAATATAGTATTGAAGATGTTTTATTTGTATATGATTAATTATATATTAATTATAAAATAATAAATATTTAATAATAAAATTAATGATAAATTAAATAGATAATATTATATATTTTAATACAAAATAAAGATAAATAATATTAACTAAGATTTTAAAATATTTCTTTTGATAAAATTTTAAATTTGATAACTAAATAAACGAAAAATATTAAAATATATAATAATTTATTTAATTTTAATTTTTGGTCCGCACGCATGTGTAAGTATATTTTTTTATAGACATAATTAGTTGTAATATTTAAGTATTGATTATTTTTTTTATACATTATGTAAATGTTATGTTGTTATACATATATAATTTTAATGTTCAACAGCAACTACACAAACGTTTCATATCGTTTTGTGTCTTTTGAATTTTTTTATTTTATTTTTCCTAACGTTTACAGTAACATATAACTACAAATGTAAAAATATATTATATAATAATTAAATTCTTATAATTGTTTTGAGTATTATCTATATATTCTTTCTTTTTTTCTTTACATAATATAATTTTGCCAATATATATACTTTAAGTATACATTTTTCTTTAACCTATTGCTAATTAAACTAAATATGAATTTTACCATATTTATTTATTCTAAGAGCGGGTAAATAGTTAGCCTGCATATTGTGCGTATCAACCACCTCACCGCTCTTAAGACATATAAATATTTTTAAAGAAATATAAATTGTCTAACAACTAAAATTAAAATTAGAGTGTAATCGAAGTTAACAAAATATATGCACGAAAAGTTTTCATGCGAGTTTGACTTTTGCACAATTAATATTTATATCTACACGCATATTTTGTAAGAAAATTGAAGTATAGCTTTATGTGTTAAAAGAAAATAAAAAGTATATGTTTTGTAATATATATTTTTATAATATATGGTTGATTTTTTTTTAAAATATAATAAGTATATTTATACATGTAGGTATGAGTTAGAAATAAGTTAATTGTAATATTTAGGTGTTGGTAAGTCATTTATGTTTTTACACGATGCATTTATTGGCGTTAAACCATAATCACGAAAACCATTTCTATCATTTTGTATTTAATTAAAGTTTCTTATTTTTCAGCGTTTGATGATATATGATTTCTCAATAAAAATATATAATAAAAATTTATTATAAAATTTATGAGATCATATTTTATAAAAATCTCCGGTAGCTCTTTGCTCATCTCTTCGTCAAATTTTTTATAATCTGTAATCGCTCGTTTGCACAAACTCTCTATAACCGAATCATTTAAACCAATCGGATCTAAACTTATATATATATATGATTTAAGGTATAAGATAATATATCTAATATTTGATTGTTAATAAAAATTAAGAGTTGATCTGTTCCTAATTTTAATATAAAATATAATGGATCACAACATATATAAATTTCAATTATTTTAAATAAAAACTTAAAATCGATCAAAATTATTCTTATTTTTTTTTTTTGTTTTCTTTGACTCATACGTTTTTTTTCTTAACATTTAATAATATATTAAACATTAGAATCATCTCCAATGTATTTTTATATTTTTTCCTCTAAAATATAAGTTTACTTCTCTCCAACCTATTTCTATTTTATAGAAAAAAGAAAGATTATTATTTTTTCCTCTATAACTGGTGAAAAAATAATAACCTTTCATTTTCTTCTAAATTAGAAGATTTAAAATAAAAATATAACCTGAGATTTTTACATAAAACCAAAGTCGTAAATATTCATTTTTACTTTTACTTCTATTTTTTATTTATATATATAATATTATAATAAAAAGCTAGCTAAGGGGATATTTCTAATTTATTTTTCTATCTGTTTATTTTTTTTATTTCATTTATAATTTTTGAATTATTGCTATATAATGAGAATTCATTCATATATAATATAAACTATTTTTTCTTATTTAAAAATAAGATTCATTTAGTTTTAACTAAACCAACCAAAAATTTCGTTTATGTTAGAAAATTTATCATGTCACATTTATGAGCTGGCATCTTTTTGCACTAACACATATAATTTTTTAGTAAACCTGTTTTTTAAATACTAGTTATGTGATGTCGAATTTAAATTTTTATATATTTTCTATTTTTATATTTTTTTGCGGATAAAATATATTTATTAAAATTAAGGTTTGTTGTTTTATAGTTACTCATCTAAAAAAATCTACATGTTTTTAAAATTTGATAAAAAAAAAGTTTTTTTTTTTCAAAAAATATAAAATTTTAAAATAGAAATTGATCCTAATATAATATTATTTAAATGTGCATATTATCGAATAAATATACTCATTCACTACAAGTTATTTTGCAATATGAAAAAACGTTAAATATCAATCTAAAAATTTAGCTTTTGGCTATTTCGTATACGTTTGTATTCGTTGTTGCTTAATTAATAGTTAAAATAATAAATAAAACAGGAATGGAGTACAGAACAGAAGAAATTCTTTTGTCGATGGAATGTACGGAACGACCTGTCCAATTCCACCGAGGACCAACTACACATACACTTTGCAAGTGAAAGACCAAATTGGAAGCTTCTATTACTTCCCATCCCTTGCCTTTCACAAGGCAGCTGGTGGGTTCGGAGGAATTAGAATCCTAAGCCGTCCAGGAATACCAGTTCCCTTCGCTGATCCCGCAGGAGATTACACTGTCCTCATCGGAGATTGGTACAAATCTAATCACACGGTAATTATTTTTATAACCAACATTTACAATGAACTCGATACTAGTAACTATTTTGCAACCTCGTGCAAATGTTTCTTTTTAAAACGTTCAAGCATTTACTCTTACGAGTATTACATTTGTAATTATGTTTTGTCTACTCCTCAGGATTTGAAGTCTCGTCTTGACAGAGGAAAAAAGCTACCTTTGCCTGATGGTGTTCTTATCAATGGCCGAAGCAACGGTGCTACCTTAAATGTTGAGCAAGGTATGTTGGTATATATGTATTTGATCTTTGTCTTTCCTATCTTTTGCTCGTTCAACCTGTTTATTAATATATATATATATATATATATATATTTTGCGGATGTAATATAGGAAAAACATACAGGTTGAGGATATCAAACGTTGGATTACAAATTTCTCTAAACTTTAGAATCCAAGACCATAAGATGAAGCTTGTCGAAGTCGAAGGGACGCACACACTTCAAACCATGTTTTCTTCACTTGACGTTCATATTGGCCAGTCGTACTCCGTTCTCATTACTGCTGATCAATCTCCTCGTGACTACTACGTTGTTGCTTCCTCCCGGTTCACGGATAAAACCATAACAACCGTGGGTGTTCTCCGCTACAGTGGCTCGTCTACCTCAGCTTCTGGTCCAATCCCCGGTGGTCCCACCATTCAGATCGATTGGTCTTTGAACCAAGCACGAGAAATCAGGTAGTCTTGCTTGTATAGGTAGCTAAGTGTTTTACGCTCCATGTAGAAACTTAAATGATCTAACGGTTATAAATTTGGTTTTGGTTTTTAATTTTCGTAGGACCAACTTGACAGCTAGTGGGCCAAGACCAAACCCACAAGGCTCATACCATTATGGTCTAATACCGCTTATTAGGACTATTGTGTTCGGTAGCTCAGCCGGGCAGGTAAATGGGAAGCAAAGATACGGTCTTAACAGCGTCTCATTCATGCCTGCGGATACGCCTCTAAAACTTGCCGACTTCTTCAAGATAAGCGGTGTCTATAAGATCAATAGCATCTCGGACAAACCCAACGGCGGAGGTTTATACCTTGACACCTCTGTTTTGCAAGTCGACTATCGAACCTTTATCGAGATTGTATTCGAGAACAAAGAAGATATCGTCCAAAGTTATCATCTTAATGGTTACTCCTTCTGGGTTGTTGGGTATATTTATCTTCACCCTATTCATATGACAGTTTATTTTTATGAATTTAACAAAGTTTGTTGTGTTCGGATCAAATGCAGGATGGATGGGGGACAGTGGAACACAGGGAGCAGAGATGGGTACAATCTACGTGATGCAGTTTCGCGTTCCACGGTCCAAGTAAAGCATTCCGCTTCTCCCTCCTTTAATTTAACGCATTGCTTTTTATTTTCTTGTTCTAATTAAAAACATGGTCTATATTTGGGGATTTAGGTGTACCCAAAATCATGGACAGCCATTTACATTGCTTTAGACAACGTGGGAATGTGGAACCTAAGATCAGAGTTTTGGGCAAGACAATACTTGGGACAACAGGTCTACTTGCGTGTCTTCACGACATCTACGTCTCTGAGAGATGAGTACCCTATCCCGAAGAACTCGCGTCTATGCGGCCGGGCAAAAGGACGACATACTAGGCCATTATAAGAAAGACGTACAAGCTTACGTGAAAATTATGCATATCGATACAGGTACAAGTTATATGTTATTCTTCCCAAGAGTTGCGACGTTATGATGAGAGAGGATGTAGTAGTAATATAGTTTGAAATGATCTCAGCTCGAGGTCTCAATTGTTTGTAATTCCAAATTCTTGTTTTTCTTTCCATGCTTTTGTTATTGATCGTTTCAATATTATCTTTTTTTGAGATATGTCATTTTCTTGAGTCGGATCACCACATGCATGTCCCATTCGAATCATCAAGTTGTCAAGTACAAACAGAACAAGTCTCCCACCGTGCCACAAATGGTCGCTCATGCGGCCAGATGCAATCCACTGCACCATGCTTCACGTCTCCTGCAGTGCAGCCAGCCAATTTTGACTAGTTTCAAGCCCGCTCAAGCCCACTTACCTTATTCCTCAAAGAAAGTCTAAGAAAGACCAGAGAGGGCCTCAAGAACTATATGGTTTCTGAGTATTAGGTAGATTATGTATGTTTTTCATGGCTTCCTACTACCTGATGGGCGTGGGTTTGACTAACAAGTTTTATCCTTAAATGAAAGTTGCAAATACACAATAATAACAGTACTATATTAAAGAATAAAATCCATAGAGATTATTGTTTTGCGAAAGATCTAACTTTTTTAACTTCTCTCAATCTAATAATTGTTTTTGTGGGGGTTTAGTTTGTCATGGTTGTAGGATAATGAAACTGAAAGCAAATTGAAAGGTGGTGAATCAATGAATAAAAGGCGTTGGATTTTGGAAATTCTCCAAGATTCAAGAATCGGATCACTTGATGATAAATTAAGACTTGGGAACGACTAAATTGTCCAGATTCTTTTAGCTGAAACGGTTTATTATGGTTACCCTACGCTAGTAGGAATAAAAAGTAATATCTGGACTACCTCAATGAATAGGCGATCAACCTCCTGTAAGTGCAGAAAACAGGCAACAAACAATTATTTGGAAAGCGCCAAGTCCAACGCTTGTTTTATTAAATTAGAATCAACAATTTAATCAACTGATTACAATTGTTTGGAATTATGCAACTCTAACCTAGATTGCTTCCAAAGATTCCTAGTTATAAAACCACTCTTCACACGATCACACAGCTCGTGTATCAGTGAAGAGGACACTAACCTTCTTGCTTCTTATTTGCTATGGAAGCTCAATGATGATTCTAATGCTTGTGGCGCAAAGTGTACAGGCCACACTTTGCCCGACTTCCTTTTTATACAACCTACCCAAGACTCTAACCCTAGAATCTAGTTGCATATCCTTTTGTAACACGTTTTCCTTTTTCCTAGATTCTCGAATCTACTCAAGATATATTCGAGACATCCTTCTTTGATTACCAACCGCTGAGTTCCACGTCAGCAAGAGCATCCTCAGCTACGAGCATCCTGCAGTCCCTCTTGAGCTGCTTCCTGATGTCACTTACATCTTCTATCTCCCCCTTTTTGACTTAGTTTGTCACTTCAGCACTCGTATCAATTAGTCTGCAATGTCAGACAAGCAACCACACACAAGGCAAGAACCAAATATACTTGAAACAAACTGCTCAGACAATACTTGAGAGAACCAAAATGTACTTAAGAATACATGTCCGCACTCAAAAACCAAGAGCGACTTAAAAGTCCAATGCACTCATCAAAAATAACCAAAAGTCTTAAAATTAAGGAAAGCACGGCGGCCTGTCTACTTAAACTTTAAAAACTAAAAATGGTCTACACTCCAGGTCAATCTAGGCTTTGGTTTAGTTATCCCATCAGCTCCAACAATTGTTGGCTCTGTCCAACCTTCTTCAACCATTGTCCAAGCGTCCTCATCGTATCCTTTGATAAGGGCCTTGATCTAAACTTTCCACCATCCGTAGTTCTGAGCGTCGAGCACAAGCGACTTGACGGAACCGAGATGCTGCATGTTTTCCATACTTTGTCCCACAATCACACCTGATTAATAAGAACAGACAATCCTTAGCAGATGCCTGCTCTGATACCGATTGTAAGTGCAGAAAACAGGCAACAAACAATTACTTAGAAAGCGCCAAGTCCAACGCTTGTTTTATTAAACTAGAATCAACAATTTAATCAATTGATTACAATTGTTTGGAATTATGCAACTCTAACCTAGATTGCCCCCAAAGATTCCTAGTTATAAAACCACTCTTCACACGATCACACAGCTCGTGTATCAGGGAAGAGGACACTAACCTTCTTGCTTCTTATTTGCTATGGAAGCTCAAGGATGATTCTAATGATTGCGGCGCAAAGTGTACAGGCCACACTTTGCCCGACTTCCTTTTTATACAACCTACCTAAGACTCTAACCCTAGAATCTAGTTGCATATCTATTTGTAACACGTTTTCCTTTTTCCTAGATTCTCGAATACACTCAAGATATATTCGAGACTTCCTTCTTTGATTACCAACCGCTGAGTTCCACGTCAGCAAGAGCATCCTCAGCTACAAGCATCCTGCTGTCCCTCTTGAGCTGCTTCCTGATGTCACTTACATCTTCACCTCCCACGGTGTAGATAGATATGCAGTTTAAAACTGGTTTGTGATACTAGAGGTTTTATCTCTTCTCAATCACCTCTGTATTTAAATCAGTTGTAGTATATGGGTTTTATGTCAATCCATGGGGAGTTGTTGAATACAAAAGAGTTGCAAGCAGAAATCCTTAAGTCAAACAAGCAAAGAATGTTTTTGTTGCCTAAGCAACTAAACTAATAACTTAAAGTGATCAATAACCAAAAAAAACTCAAAAAGAGACAGTTTAGCAATGATCAAAGAAGCAAAACAGAGTAAAATAACAGAGTAAATAGCAAATTCGAAATTCAATAAAGAGAAAGCAAGTTCCTAGATGTGGTTATTGATTTTGGGAAATTCAGAGACTAACTAAGGTTGTTTCAAACAGCATTGATCAAGCAAACAAGCTAGCAATGGTGGTTCAGAGACATAGAGTTCACAAACAAGCAAGCTAAGTCCAATCTCTTGATAAATAGCCTTTTACTAAACACCTTAACAAGAACTAACTCTCATTAGTGCTAAAACATTCATCAAGCAATAACAATCAACCCTATTCATGTCAAAATGCTCCTCAAACAGTCAATCTCTTGAGCCAAGGCCAGCAAATCCTCTATCAAACAAGATCAGCATTTCATCAAACACTTGGTGGGCATAAGAGAAAGCTCAAATCCTAGATAAGTGTGATCAAGACAAATCTAGATTAAAAACAGATCAATAGAGAGGAACCCATGTTATTAAGCACTAAACAAACCTTAATCAATCCTTAAATCCCCTTACTCTACCACATCTAAGAACCCTAAGCAAACTACTCACTAATACACATGTTAAACACCAAATCACAAGAGGAAAATATGCTAATCATAATTAAAGGAGAGATTAAGGAATGATTAATGGCAAATACAAACTTATATTAAATAAAGCAAGAAATTTGTCTTACAAACTCAGAAAATAACTCAAGAACAGTGATATGACATGACTTGTCGAAAATCCCAGAAAATGGGTATTTATACATAAAAGAAGGAAGCCCTAAAGTAATGGCAAAAGTGTAATAAAAGACAGGTTTGGACTGGGTTCCTATTGGTCTATAAGATGACCGATTGGGTGACCGAAATCCATACGGTGCACTTCTATCGGTCACTTCTCTGACCGATAGGTCTTGTTGATAGTCCTTCTATAGGTCACTCCTTGACCGATGGGCCTTGTGTCTTGACCGATAATCTAATAAGTGAGATACTTGTAGGCAAGAAGTGGTGTCTCCATGAAATCTCCAAGCCCCATGTTTTCAAAGATCTTCTTGCAATCTACATATATCCCAAGTGCCTTCATCAAGCACAAGGACTTTCAAGGTGGTGAGCTATGAAAAGAGTGAGCTTCCCAATGGAGATGGCTGGATCTGTTTCAAACTTGGCAAGCGAAAGTTCACAGCAACCTTCAATGAGATCTCTGATGGCCTTGGGATGTACCCTTATGTTGATAAGAGAGACCACTTCAAGATCAGTAAGAGGCAGCACAAGATGCTATGGTAAGTTATTGGGATTTCCAACTACACTCCAGGAGTAACAAGGAACCAGCATCTAAAGCACCCAGCTGTGAGATATGCTCACAAGCGCTTGCAAATACGTTCTTTGCAAGAAAGGAGCCATGCAATTTAACAACGAAGGTGCTGGACTTCATGTACATTGGAATGCAGCCACTTGTGAGCTCCAACAAGGATGTGATATAAGATCAAAGGTATGATCTTATATGACCGGTATAAGGATGAATCAGTTAGCTGGCCACACGGCACTCTCTAACTTGATCCGGTACGGTGAAGATGATATGGGACGATGGTGGTGAAGTAACTGGCCAAACGACGCTCTTTACTTAACCAAATGAATGATAACTAACAATGGGTCGATTGACAAACACACACGACTGTGATAGGACCGTGATTAGTCGGTTTTGAACTCAAGAATCAAAGGGGAAACCTCACAATGATCTAGAACTCGGCGGCGGCTCTCTTGGTGAAGAAAGTGCGTTCTTTATTGATAATAGGGTAAAAACGTGAGCTACAATGCTGCATATGGGACTTTATTAATAGTCCTTCAGCCTTGACCTTCTAGGGTTGAAATAAACAAAGAAATGCAAGGACCAAAATACAAAAGTGCATAAAGAAAAGATTACAAAAACTTATGATAAAAATGTAAAAAAAAACTAGAAATAAAGTCTTGCAAAACAAAAAAAGGAAACATGAAATATTATAGAATAATTGACAAGTTTTTCTTACCGTTGCCTCTTGATTAATTTGTGTCCAAATACGGTAAGTCTTTGTCTCCACGGTTGCTCTTAAGTTTGGTCGTTTTGATGTGGTGTGATGATGAGGAGAGTTGGGACGGGGCTGTCTCTTAGTAATGGCCATTCATCTAGGCTGGAGCTGGCCTTGGACGTGGCTGGGCTTTGAACGTCTTGAAAATATCCTAAGTGTTGGCCCGCTTGCTTGTTTAGCTCTTCGGTACGTCGTCCCGTAATGCTCTCGACCGCGGTACGGGGACGGTATGTAATGCTCTCGACCGCGGTACGGGAATGGTTCGTAATGCCCTCATCTGGTGCCGTAATGTTCTCGTCCTGCTCGGTCATGTCCTCGTCCGTTGTATTGATAATGAGCTGTTTGAGCAAGCGATTGATGTCCTCCGTCTTCTTAAGGTTGAAAAGGCTCTCTACAGCTTTGTTGAACTCCTCCCTCATGGTCCTTGTACCTAAGCGAGTCCTTGAGGTTCGTACATGATGGGTACCCGTTGCTTGTCCGTAGTGAGGTCCTCATCATTCCCTCCCTCTTGAAGAGGTTCTGACCTCAGAACCGTTTCATCTGCATCAAAGGGGGCTAAGTCAGTAACATTGAAACTAGAAGAAATGTTCATCTCACCTGGAAGCTCTAAGCGGTAGGCATTTTTGTTGATGCGTTCAAGGACTTTGAAGGGTCCATCTCCTCGTGGCGAAAGCTTGCTCTTCCTTTTGTTCGGGAACCTCTCCGGTCTCATGTGTAGCCAAACCCATTCCCCTGGTTCGAATATGACTTCTTTGCGGTTCTTGTCAACGTTCAGCTTCGTTTGTAATGTCT